CCAGTTTCTGAGAATATGGCAACCTCCGAATATGCCTAACGCAATATTGGTAGGCTTCGCAAGATTTCGGTTTTCAAAAAAAAAATTGCGAGATAGAATGGAAATTCGATTTTCAGAAAAGAATAATTCCAGTTTCCGAGAATATGACCACTTCTATCGTTATCCCAATATGCCTAGAGAACGAAATACTAACTTCAGAAATTTCAGCTATGTATGCGAAAATATCAGAGAAACGAAATGCTACTATCGGGAATTTTCAGACAAATCGAAATGCGATTTATCAGAAATTTCAGATATTTGTGACTAATATCAGAAATTTTCAGGTAAAACGAAATGCGAATATCAGAAATTTTCAGATAGTTGTTGCGAGAATTTTTTTTTCGGAGATTTGACGAAGTCCTACTTGATTTACTAATGAGTAGTCAATAGATCAAGCAAGCTGGCTAYTTGATTGAGCGGGTCCTCTGAATGAGAGGTCCGCTCCGATACCAAACTGTTGCATACTGTAACGTGGCAGACCAGAACAAGAACCGACCTCTCAATACAAAGTATAAGATAGCACAGTGGAAGACTTAGATACCAATGATCCGACAATCAATATTGCAATGCAGCTCTGAACATACATCATCATCATCGTTACACGGTGTGAATGGGGTCTGGCGCTTCACACAGGAAGACTGCGCCAGCCCCTACCATACACAGACGAAGAAGAAGGGGGTTAGACGAAGAGGAGGGGAAGATGGGAATTGTCGTCAACACCAAGTCTTCGCACAGGCCCAAATAGTCCCTCGTCAAAATGTTTGAATCCCAAATGTCAAGTCTGGATCCAATGTCGTCTGTCGTAGTCTGAGAAGTCAGGTGGTGAGAGGGTGAGAAGAGATGGTGGACTTAGAAGAGGAAGAAGAAGAACTCTCTCTCTCTCTCGGTGTCCAGTACTAACCTGTGAAGTCGGTGCCTTGATGCAGGTACCTCGCAGATGGAGCTGGAGCGATGGCGCCACAGGTAAGTACCACTGGCCTCCGCCAGTGTCTCTCCCAACTCTACTATCTACCACCTACCATAGCGCCCAGCGCCGAAGACTACAGCTATGGCTATGGGCGCCCAGCGCCGAAGACTACTCCTAGCGCTAACTACTGCCTAGCGCTGAAGACTACTGCAGCGCTCCTCCTGAGTGCTGCGGCTGAATCCTGAAGACTACTCGTGCCTACTGACTCTACCTACCCGTGAAGTGCATGGGACAATCCTGTGTACTACTGGGTGTGCCTCCTGACTGCAGGCGAGCAGTCCAGGAGGCTGCTCTTGCCAATGCCGAAGGGAGGCAGGGGCTGCAGCTGCAGCTCCTGCTCGAGCTGGCGTGGGGAACAGGCTATTTCTGGCCTGTTCCCGAAACCCTGTTTCTGTGCCTGAGTCTTAGGTAGGTCGAACACAATGAGGGCATGAAAATGGCCCTCCATTTCAGGCTGAAAAGCCTCTGGGCCTGAAAGGCCCAGAAATAGGCTGAAAACGGAGTAGGGCCTGCAGGCCCTCGTTTTTCAGCTTTCAGGCTGAAACGACCGGAGCCTGTAAGCCCTAAGTTTTAGGCTTTTAGGCTGAAAGTGCGGGACGGGCCCTGCCCTGCAGGGCCCGTGTGGCTACGCAGTATTCCACAAGCACGGTTCCACTAGCAACAGAGTAAGGTATATTGTCCCACGGCGACACCTGTGGGACGTCTGTGGGACATCCGCCAGCCGTTGGTGCATCGAAATCTGAGGGCAGTAAAATAAAGATGTTTGTATATTTCAAAGTTGTGTTTTAATTTATTTTTTTTCTTGTCTTTTTTTTTCCTGTGAATAACAGGATGTGGGGAAGAGAAATAACAAGTTTCTTTTTTATTGGCGGCTGTCGAAAACCAAAAAGAAAAAACAAGTACTCGAAGTCGTTTGTATTGACCGTGCTTTTTTTTGGGGTCAATAGCAAACCCCTGGAGTACTTTATTTCTTACGGCAAAGTAGGAATATCGGCTTGTTTCTAGAATGAGACCGTCACTAGCCAGTCCCGGCGGGCACACTAACGGACTCCCTCATAGCAACGGTCGCTTACGACTTCTTGGGCGTTGCCCACCATCCAAGACGGCCAAGTATGCAAGACGATTGGACGACTTGCCTAAGGACGAGATCCCGCTGGCAAAAATGATTGGAATAAGTCTCTGAGCCTGCTCGTGTTTGTGGATAAGTGCAAACAACTTTGACTTATCTGCTTTTCCGCATGTCTGCATGGAAAACGTCCAGATTCAGACACTTATTCAAGAAGACGGCCGTCTTTTGCAGTACTTTCAAACGTCGACCTCCTCACCATTTTTTTTTTATTATGTCTTTTAAATTTATTTATTTCTCTTTTCTCAACCTGTTGCACATGTCATAATAGTACATGACTCGTCTGCTAGTGGAACCGTGCTCCTGTAGATTAGGTCGTGATCTTCTAGGAAAAATATTTAAAAATAAATAAAAAATCATTTTGACTGTCAAATAACCACCACACGTTTTCGGCACTTTTTCCATTTTCGCCGCTATGCCATGTGCCGCCCAACAGAAAAGTACTGCATTTTCCGTGATGTTTTAAGCTTAGAAGAATATAAGAAAAAATATGAAAATTTTAGAGTCCATAGATTCCGTTGTGATATTTTTAGGAAAAATACTAGAAAAAAAAGTAAAAATCATTTTGATGCCAAAATGCATCACGGCGGCGATTCGACACATTTTCCTTTTTTTTCCCACTCAGTCGGTTTTCCACACTCTGCAAGGTTAGGGTTTGGACACACAGACACATCCTGACGTGCCAGCTGCCTGACACGAGATACTTAAAAAAAAAAGTCCCCAACATCACACAGGGACCCAATGTGGTTGGGTTCAAACCCCACCTACAACAGTTAGCAGCAAACTTCAAAATATTAATATTAAACTATTAATACGTGTGTGTGTGTGGGTGGGCCGGCAAGCAAGCATGTGTGTGTGGGTGGGCAGGCAGGTAGGCGGGCAGGCAAGCGAGCATGTGGGTGGGTGAGAGCATGCGTGTGCGGGTCCACCCGTTCTTTTTTATTTAATAAATGAGAAAAAGGGGGGACATAAAACGAACAGGCGCAAGAAAACATCAGCCTACCCGGGGGCACATACAACAGCCGCAGCTACCGGGGGCCACAAAACAACAGCTGCAGCTAGCGGGGGGACACAAAACGACGGCCAGCCGGGAAAAAAAAAAAAAAAGCCACCCGCATATCCGACGACTCGCCTCCAAGATGTTCGTCCACATCAACGCCATCCGTGCACCCCACCCCGGGGCGCTCGCTCTCGTTTAATGGCGCGCTGTGAACATTTCGGTACGCGCGCCCCTCTGCACACTCCCCCGCCCTCGATCGCCTTCATCCGCCACCCCTCACCAAAACTTCGACCCGAATCCAGCGTGCAGCGCGTCATGGACCTGCCCCGCCAATGCTGCTTAAGGGATAGGATGGTTAAAAAAAAAAAAAGTTCACGCCCACACATCCAGCTTGTGAAGAAGTRCAAAGACAGAGGCAAGCAACATAGAACAGAAAAAGAATTGTGTGCCGTGTCAGTAATCCCAATGGTCAAAAAAATAAAATAAAAAAATCCGAATTGTTATACCCACTAACCTCCTCAGCAGCTTTACTGGAATACTGAGACCATTCACTCTCTTCCATCCATAAACTCTCGCTCGCGCTCTCATCGCCAACAACGCTGTCGCCACTGTGATAGGGAGATTTCTTATCTGACACAGACACGTCATGACAATCTATATCCCCTGCATCATGTTTTGAAGGGGTCTGCATGCCCTTCCCTGTCCAACTGGATGACCCGTCATCCAACGGTCCCTGCGCTCCAGAATTCCCCTTGCCACTGCGGGACAACGATCGCGGAATGGGTCGTGGTCGCTCACATGGCCCAGGAATGTCATGTGGCTCTGCTAAAGAAGGTTGAGGACAGCAATCGCCAGTTGTTGTTCGTAACAGCACTGAAGGTTCTTTTGCCTCAGGGGATCCTCCAGACTGTGCCTGCGAGAGAGAAGACGGACCAAATCGGTCGATCATTTTACGGCAATCAGAACAGATGCCATGGTCGTAGCCAAGAGGAGTGTGTGCCCCCCTTCTCTCTTCATGGCCATGTGTCATGCGTCTCATGCCCCGTTGACTCGCTGTGTATGCCCGATTGTAAGCATCATTGACGGCGCCAACGGTTCTTACGGCCTTTGTGCCGATATGACCATCAGACCCCCAAAAAGCACGATCGGCATGCCTAACTGTTGCTTCAGCTGCGACCTTGTGAAGATCCTGATCCAACCCGCAACTTGGGCATCGCATCGGTTCCAGGAAAGTGAGGTCTTCCTCCAGTGCCGCCTCGTTGAAAACATAATCCACCTCGTCTACACCCCCGTAGTCGAAATCGTCGTCATCGACAAACTTTGCAGCCTCCATTGCCTGTCTCATCTTCTTCCTTACCCTCCATCCCCTCCATGTACTCTGGATGCATATGGCTGCAAGTGTTCTCTGCTTGTCCGTCTCCCTCTGCTTCTCCCTTGCTCTCTCCTCCTCCCTCCGCCTTTCAAAGTCCATTTTCCTTGCTTCCTCTTTCTCCCGTTCAAGTTCCATCTCTCGCTCCTGCTCTCTCTTCCTTACCAACGCCCGTCTAGCTCTCTTGCCTCGCCACCAAGCTTGTACCCTCACACACGCACTCTGCATGTCTCTCTGCCTTCTTTCCTCCTCCTCTCTCCTGAGCCTGTCTCTCTCCCTTTTCCGCTTCCTCCTTGCAATGGCAATCCTCCATGCCGCCTGTATGAACCGTACCTGTTCCAGAATCCATGCCCTCTCCTCAGCCACATACGCAGGGTTTGCCGAAAGCACTCGCTGATACTTTGCAGGATCAAAGCACACCAAATCATGCAGAGCCGCTCTTAGTTCATCTGTGTTTCTGCTTCTGGTGCGTTGTACCGCTCTCGAGCCCGAGCTGAACCTGCCATTCTCAGCATGCAACTGATTCTCCTCAGTCGAGAGGAGGTCCTCCCCATCCTGGCCATCGCGAGCGACCGTTTCTCCCCACCCCGCACATTCCTCACTGGACATATCAGCAGCCAGCATTCTTTCTAGTCCATCCTCCTCATCTGCACTTCCGTGGATCTCCTCCCACCCTCTCGCAGGGAGTCGCCGACTCGCTTGCTGTAGCCTCTGTCTTCTCTCGGCACACATGTCGAAGAATGTGGCTCCTCGCCACCTGCAGCGAACTGCAGACAAAGCGCTATAATTATCATCTCCAATCCTGTTCGATGATGCAGTCTGGTTCTCATTCCGGCCCTGGATCCCAGTCCCCCCCGGGGCCCCAGACGTGACGCCGATCCCAGTCCAGCGCTTTGTGCATTCACGCTCTCGTCTGCTGTACTCTCTCTCTGCCTCCCATCCTCTCTTCCAGTTCATGACTTTGCAAAGATACCTCCAGGCTGAATAGCCTTGCCCCAGGTAGCCAAGCGCCGAACGCTGCTCGACTCGCGCAATCTGACATCTTCTAGCATCGGATAGAACATACGAAAGCTTGTTCCGCGACAAACTGTCTCGCCAGAACTTCCAACCGAGACTCCCCCCTATTCCTCTCTCTATGCTCTTGTGTAGCAGGCTTGCGTCTCGTACGAACTCTTGCAATGGCTCGTTATCGAGCTCCCTCAACCAAGGCATAGCGTCAATTACCCCTTGGGTGTAACTTGGCAGCTCGGCCACAGGATTGTCGTTCAGCTGCAAAGATCTCAGCCGTCTGTGGCAATTCAGGTTCCACAAACTTTCTAGGTCAGCGATACAGTTGAACGACAGGTCGAGAACCTGCTTCCAGAAAACCCACCAGCGCGCCATAGTCATCATACATTATCAGCCCGTCGATAAGCACCAGGCAATCAGAGTAGTAGCTGTAGTGGCAGATTACCATAGCAGTACCGTGCAGCAGCAAGTACCGTCACCGTCGTAATAGTAACTGCAGTAGAGTTTAGTTCCCCTAGTTACCCTCAAGGGGTTACTGCAGTTTTTAGCTTGCCCAACTAACTGCTGCAGCTAGTACTAACTGCAGTAACTGCGGTAGAGTTTAGCTTTCCCTAGTAACTGCTTCCGTTACTAGTAACCGCAATAGAGTTTAGCTTGGCCTAGTAACGGCTGTAGTTACTAGTAACTGCAGTAACTGCAGTATAGTTGAGCTTGCCCTATTAACTGCAGTAGCTGCAGTACAGTTTAGCTTGCCATAGTAACTGCCGCAGTTACTAGTAACTGGTATAGAGTTTAGCTTGCCCTAATAACTGTTGCAGTTACTAGTAACTGGAGTAACTGCAGTAGAGTTTAGCTTGCCCGCGTTACTGCAGCAACTGCAGCAGCGGTAGCAGTGCTAGCCGTAGTAGCAGTAGCAGTAGCAGTAGCAGTAGCAGTAGCAGCAGCAGCAGAAGAGGACTTTGAGCGATAAGCTGGTACAAGCACAAAGGGGACCAGGTTCATCACATCGAGCTGACCTGCCAAACAGTTAAGATACTCTTTGTAGGTAGCTGGTTCGAACACGTGTGAGTTGGTTTGTTTCCAGGTTTTTTTAAGTGGCTGGTCATAGACAGATTCATGTAGTGGGCCCAAGTTCACTCAGTTGACAATGACAGGTGGAGCTGGTTCGTACTACGCACTGTCTTCACCTGAATAGAAAGTCCTGATCATTATACCTGTATTTGGGACAACTTTCAGTCCAGATGCAGCGATCGTGACTGGGCGTTCTATTCAGACGAAGACGGCAGGACTGACTGGCTGGTACATTGTTGGGGTGATTGACACCCAGCTGTGTAGCTGTTGAGACGCAAGTTAAGAGTTTGTCAAGTTAACAGTTTTGAAAACAAACAGCTGCCTCAAGACTAGTAAAAACTTTTAAATTTCATCTCCCACTTTTAAATTTCATCTGTCTTGGGCAGGTTCTGGGTCCAGCCCAAGGCCTCCACGGCCTTGTGGTTCTTCTGTTTTTTTAAAAAACAAACAAAAAAAAAGGGCAACGGCCTTGAGATATTATCATTGAGCTGACTGGCCCCAAGCAATTCATTAGTAGTTGGTTTCACTTGTCAAGTTCCATCATCTGGATTCGAACACAGGTCTGTATTTCAACAGTTCATGGGTGTACCCACTGAGCTAGGCTCTTGGGGTACCTTGTGGTTCTTCTTCTTCTTCTTCTTCTTCTTCTTTAACTGATCAGAACAGATACTACATGTGACCTTAGCCCAAGGCCCCCACGGCCTTGTGGTTCTACTATTGGGAAAAAAAGGGGAAAAAAAGAGTAACAGATCTGTCGGTTTGGATCGTTCGTCTTCAGGTTTTTTGGTAGCATCTCAGTTCAGTACTTATATGAGATTGATCGGCTCTTTGGGTATGCGGTTTGCAGTCCTCTGATGATTCCGCTTCTGGTGGGCGGATGAAACACTGCGTAGGGACACGCCAGCATGGCGCACTGATCATGTGTTCACTTTCATCATTTCAGTGACTCAAATTTTTCCGCGTACCTAGCCCTTCGTGTTTGTTTTTTCTCTTTCTCCTGTCATTGGTTTCGTCTAAAGTACAAATGAATTCTATGTCAGTCAATGTGGACGCTCCACTGGGAGAATGTGTGAAGCAGTGAAAGCACTATACCTGTGCAAGCAGTGAGAATCGAGAAACGTGTAACCAGAGTGTCTTCATCAAGCCTAAAGTTCAAGAGACAGCATCCAAGGTTTATATCCTACCTTCGGACTTCACGCGTCAGGTTTTTGTCAGTCCAAAATTCACAATACAGAAACTACAAACCTATTATGGAAAGTGAGTTCCCCCAAAACAACTGGAGTGTGAAACCATGCAACAGAGTGATGGACACTTTTTTTCCTGCAAGCCACTGTGCGTAAAGGTGGGAGTGCTTGATCTCCTGATACCCAGCATGCGAACAAGGTGACAATTGAGAAAGCCCCBCCCCCCCCCCCTTTTCTCTCTCTCTCTCTCTCTGAACAGGTTGCTAGGGCTACGTGCGGAGAGGATTGGTGATGTGTCAGGTTGGATTGTTTGTCTCCAGACTTTGTGGTAGTATCTCAGTTCAGTATTTATTATATGCGATAGGTCAGCTCGTCGGGTACGAGCTTTGAAGTCCCCTGGTGATTCCGTTTCTGGCGGGCAGATGAAATGCTCCGTAGGGACATGCCTGCATGGCAGTGATCATGTGTTCACTTTGATAATTTCAGTGCCTCAAATTCTTGTGTGTACCTATGGGCTTTGATGGCCCCTTCGTGGTTGGTTTTTCTCCTTCTCCTGTTGTTGGTTTTGTCTTTCCCTCCTTTGCGGGTTCGCACATTTTTTCAATTGCATGTTTCCACCCCCATTCGCCCTTTGGCCTTCTTGCTTTGCTGTTTCCCGTCTATTCTGTCCTTCGGACTCCTTCCTTTTTGAAAAAAAAAGAAAAGCGCAGGAGAGAGTCGAATCCAGCGTTTCCATTTTCCGTCCTGGATGAAAATGAAATGAAACAGACAGATTGTTGAAGCTTCCTTATGAAGGGACGCTGGACCCAGTTTCCAGCATCAGCCGAAGTTGGGTAATGGCCCCAGTACCCGGGTTGAGGTGTTGAGAGATTCCTGGCCTCCTTGATTTTCATATAATCAAACGCAAACTACTCCCCCCCCCCCCCCCTCACCACAAAAAAAAGAGAGAGAGAGAGAGAGAGAGAGAGAGAGAGAGAGAGAGAGAGAGAGATGAAACAGACACTCTCAGGCAGATAGACGATGTACCTTCCATGCGGCTGAATGGTACACACTGTGTCACACACAATTTTTAATAAACAGATCACCAGATGAAACTTCAAAACCCTGAAGGACAAAAGAAAATGAACCGGGGACCTCATGAGTCCACCTGCCGCTGCGCCCGCTGGTTTAGCGCACATTTTAGCGCTCATCATCGCATCGACATTTTCCAGCAGGCAGTGCCTGGCCATCGCACCGCGGCAAATTCCTTCCGGTGACTAACCCTAATTGAGCGCTAATCCAGGCTTGCATGTTTGAGTGGACATGGTTACTTCGACTTGTGTCGGACAACCAGGAAGCCTCGCTGATTCGTTCGTTCTTCCTTGTCTTCGTCCCCGCCAGAGTTGGTACTTGCTCGTTAATCAGTGGCACCACTCCCCTCATCTCGATCCCTGAGTGGATTGGGTAACGTTCAGCGTTCGTGTGTGGAGTCTCTCTGGTGGCTCTTGCCCCGATCCCGTAATCACCTTCTCCACCCCTTTCTCCCCTGCAAGCCTTTAAGACCTTGAGACCGAAGGAGCTGTCCCTCCCTTCGAGAATGGCCTCAAGGGACGGGCTCCTTCTCACCACAGTGAAGTTCGGGGATGTGTTCACCCGACATAGCCCCAGCTAAGGGGAGACTTGACAAACTGTCGGATTACTTGAAGAAGCATCTGGATCGCTGGCTATTGGATTGTAAGTGATTCAAGGAGATCCGAAGGTCAACTACGACGTGTTTCTCTCACCCTCCTGCTATCAGATCCGCAGCTTCAACCCGATCTCGGATCGGGAGGTAATCTTCATCTTCATCGGCCAAGCCTCTTTGCCCCTTCTTCTCTCCCTAAGAGAGTGGTGGGTATATGGTTGACTCGCTCCTTAGCTCGGAGCAGACTTGGGGGTTTCTTTTCAAAAAGACTACTGGGACGCCACTTCCCGATCCTCTTGGTTGTCAGGGGCTTCTTGTTTGGATAGAACATGTCCTTCTTCGACATGATTTGATTTTATTGTTATCTATTCGCTTCTATCGTTTGAGTGGAGGCCTAGCCTTTGCCGAATTTGCCTACTTTGCTAGCTGAATGCAGGCTATTAATGCAGTTTGGTTGTTAAACCACTAGTACCTTTGCCGCTTGGAAAATAGCGGGCCTCGGGTAGGCATCCGACCTTTGCAGCGGGAAAGGTACTAGTGGTTTAGCGCTCCTCGATTAGCCATTCCCATGATAATCTCGTTTGTCTCATCTCCCGAAGGGCGGTAGTCTAATGGAGTCCAATAATCTGGCCCTAACGGGGCCAGATTATGACGAGGTGAGAATCTCAAGAGTAATCGCGGAATGTTACAGAACCGGGGTATTGCCCACTGACCTATTTATTACCGGATGACCAGAGTCAGGTCGAGAGGTCAGACGACCAGAGTTAGGTCGAGAGGTCAGGTGACTGTGTCATAGTAAATATTGACCCCCCCCACATTTTCAACGCCCAAAAAGAATGGCTTTCTAACCATGCAGTGACTATCTTCTTTGGCGATAAAGGGGACTCTCTCCGTGCCAAAACCGAGAATAAGGTAGTCAGAATTTACGAAAATAAGTCGATAGGTATATCGATGTTGGGACCAGAGCCCAAACGGGGTCTGCTCAGGCAGGAACTTAGTCACGAATGTCCCAAGCATGAAGGCCGTGGCAGAAGGGATGTTGAAGAAACACACAGACGAAATCGTGTTGGATGGTTCCAAGTACTCCCTCCACTTCCGGCCATGGATGTCGGAAGTCGAGCTTCAAGATTGGAGGGAGTCCATGAGATACAAATTCTTTTGGATTAGGGTTTTACAGGTCCCCATAGGAGCCATGTCGGTGATCAAAGATGCCGTCAGACTCGCCTTCGGGTGCATCCTCAAACCTGGCCCATCGTTCTCAAAACCGGATGAACCAGAACTCTGGAACATTCGTTTTAACATGGAACCTGGAGCTCAAGCCCGCTTCACGCCTTATCTGACAATAGACCTCCCTGAAGATGGGGACTCTATCGAGTTGGAGGTAGTAAACCAGGAAACGAAATGGCGTAGTGAATGCCGTTGGTATTATCATACAGATGGTGATCAGACTGCCCAGCCAGGAAGAGACAGGCTCAAGGGAACCAAACACAATCAGCCGGCAGCTGGCCCGATCCCCCAGCAAAATCAGCCAAAGTATGGTTGGAATGGCTAAAAGTTAGGGGCATCAAGGGACAAGATAGAATGACCAAGCTCACGTTTCGTTCTCTCCTGTTCCAAGGCTCCAAACCTCTTCTGAGGGAGCTTCACACCCGTTCTCTCCGGACACTCCCGTGGCTGTAACCACAAGCTCCATATGCACCTATGTTGCTGAGTACTTCTCCGACATTCTGGCGGCCACTATTTGTCCGACAAACTTATTTGAGACAGATCTTTACAGATCTTCCCCCTTCTTGGGTCGCACCAGAGCTAAACTGTCAATCACCGGCATACTGGATCTAAACAGACCGTTTACTACTGAGGAACTACTGACGGCAACCAAACAAATGCCGACCGGTAAATGCCCTGGTATGGATGGACTGCCTGTCGGACTCTATTTAGCCACTTGGGACGTGATGGCCTCACTCTAACCGAAATTTATAACAAGGCTATACAGAACGGTAGCCTCCCCAGAGGCATGCGCGAAGGTATAATCTCTCTACTCTACAAAAAGGGGGATAAACAAAATATCCGTAACTGGCGGCCAATATCTCTCCTTAACGTGGCTTACAAAAATTATTGCCAACACATTGGCACTAAGGCTCGCACAGCACTTACCGCATCTGATTGGAACGGAGCAAGGCGGCTTCGTGAGTGGCAGATCGATTTATGATAATATTTTGGCCACTGTGCGAGCCCTAGAAGTTATCAGCAGGGAGAAACGAGAGGTGGCGGTGATACTTCTTGATCTGGAAAGAGCCTACGACAGGGTGGGCTGGGCGTTCATAGGCACCACACTCACCTATATGGGGTTCGGGACTACTTTTTGTAAGTTGGCCAGATCTATGTACTCCCGGGCTTCGGCCAGGGTTGATGTGAACGGGAACCTCTCTGAACCATACTTGCAAGCAGACGGACCGGACGAGCGTCCGGTCCGGTCCGCTTTGCCGCGTGCGGCACCCTCCCCCCGGACCAGACGGACCCGGACCGGACCGGACGGGGCCGTTTGGGGGTGGGGTGGGGCGTAACTGGTCGTCGGGCGCACATTCGTGCGCCGAACGGGTCCGGTCCGGTGGTCTGCCGCACGTGCGGAACCGCCCGGACGGCGTCCGCTTGCAAGTATGCTCTGAACCCTTTGTCCTCACCCGATCGCTCCGACAAGGTTGTCCCCTGGTGCCACTGATTTTTGTACTCCAAATGGACGTGCTTCTAGACAACATCCGCCTTAACGACTCCATCCGGGGATTGCCCCTGACTCCTTCCTTTCACTGGAAGGGGAGCGCCATAGCCGGCGATCTGACTGTAGCATGCGAAAACACAGACGATTCGACTGCCGAACTGCATCGGGTTTTGGATGAATATTGAGCTCTTTCTGAAGCCGCTATCAATTGGGAGAAATCCGCAGTTTTGTTACTGGAGCCCTTCAAGTTCTCAGGAGATTGGGGAATGAAATATATGCCTCCTGGGGATTCTGAGAGACTCCTGGGGGTTCAAGCTTCCCCCTCTGACCGTGCCTTAGTTATCTCAGCTGCAGCTTTCTCTACTCTTTGGTTTGTGCTAGCTATTCACCGATTAGGAGACCAAGCGTATGCAGTGATCAGGCGATGTTCTGCAAGATTTCTATGGAAACCCACAGCACTAGAAGAACAAGGATACCTCTCTAAGGTGGCATGGGAAACTGTAGCAACCCCCAAAAAGATCGGTGGCTTGGGGTTGCTGGACTCCAAGCAACATAATATTTCCACGCTCTCGAAATGGCCGACCATCGCCATGATGTCTCAACAACCCAAGGCATATGTGTTGTTCGCTGAATATCTGTTAGGCACAATGGGATTTCTCAGAGCTTTCGGATATCTGGCGCTGTCTTTATTTACCCTCCTTCTCTCAGAGAAGGCCGAAGTCCACGCTCTGGGGAGGCATCCTTGGGGCTTGGAACAATCTCAGACCATCTACCTTTAGGGAACCAATCACCCAATCTGACATCCTAAGCCAACCCCTTTTTGACAACCCCCATATCCTACAGCAGAATGGAGAATCTTTCGCAGCCTGTGAGGCCCCTGGTAAATTTGGTAAAGCCTGGGCGCTTTGCCTCGCTTCCCCACGTGAGACCGAGTTTCCAGTGGCTTCAGTCTCGGCCAAAGTGTCTGCGCCCAGGCCCGTTCAGACAGTGGCCTGGGACCGAATTGGTTAGGCATGCCCAACCACCCAGGCACAAATGTGCAATGCTCCCTGCTTCCACCACGTTGCTAGCCTGGAAGGCTCACAAATATTTTGGATTCTTACGAGCAATGCGGCTGTAACCAACTGGTGTGTGGCAACTGTCTGGCACCGACCAAGATTTGCAAAAATTGATGAGTTGAGGGCTCATTTAGATTCAGGGGGCCCACCTTTACTTAGGGCGGGCACATGCCTGCTGCAGGGCCCTATGCCGAGGCTTAAACCCTCACACTTGCACATTTCGAAACTCACACCATGACACCGGTGGCACTTTGTCTTTTCTTGCCTATTTCAAACTAAAAGTGTGTCACACTGTCACAGCCACATTTTCCAGCGTCGGCCTGCTAGAGGAAGTGATAAGAGCAGCTCCCTGTAGCAGACTTGCTCTTTCCCAGCAAAAAAAAAGAGAAGGAAAAGGAGGACATACGTACCTCCAACGAATTGCAGCAGCCAATCATTGGCTCAATGACATCAATGATATTGTCTTGGAGGTAGAGTCGCTGCAGGTTAGGTAACCAGGCAAAGCAGGAGAACCATCGGATCCTGTTTCCATTAAGCCAGATTTCGCGCAGAAGTCCACTGCCCAAGTGGGTGGGTAGGTTTCTTAGCTGGTTTTGAGAAGCGAGTATGTTGACAATTCTGTCACAATAGCCGACTCCCTCCCAAAGTCCCCCCTCACCATTGCTCTTGAGTCGGTTCCCCTCGACATCGAGCACTCTCAAACTTCGCATACCTCTCATCGCATTTTGAAACGGTGCCCGTCCCGCGAAACTTTCGAGTTTATTCGAACTTATTTCGAGAACCTCCAGTGTTGGGCAAACCCCCACCAGTCCGTATAGCACCCGTATTCGATTGCCGGAAAGCCCAAGTTCCCTCAACTTGGGCCAGCTCCATAATCCCCGCTGTTCTCCGGGTACCGTAGAAGGGATGCCGCTCGTTGAACGTCGACTTTCCGGGACGCCGCTCATGCACGGTTGCCCGAAATGGCCGAGCAGATTGGCGTCTAGTCTCAGCACGCGCAAATGTGATAGATCTTGTAGGCCTTCAATGCTCTTTAGATCATTATGCCGGATCGAAACCCCTTCCAGTACCCCTTCTAATCCACGAAAGGCAGACTTAAGACACGTCAAACTGTTCATGTCCAGGCAGATCCAGCGTAGTTGCGGACACCATTTTCCCAGTTCTCCGTTCCCTAGCGAGCACAACTTCTCCAAGGACAAGTCGACCACAACCAAGCCGCTCAGCTTTCCTACATCTCCCAACCTCCTCTTCTCGTCCAATAGCGTTCTCGTCAACACAGTTGGAACATCTGCAGCAGACCACATTCTCTCATTGTGGTCTCCACCTCCTTTCTTCTCCTCACTCTCCGTTTCTGCATCAGTGGCATTCAAGTCTTCCAAATCACCATCATCGTAAGCTTCCGTTATGGGGCGGTGGACGGCAGGAGGCCACCTCCGTCCCCCCATGCCTTGTCTCATACTATGACCTGTCGGCGACCGTTGGAGGCAAGAATTATGTTCATTACGATCGACATTTCCATGGGGGGCGGTGAGTACTTCTTCGGCATCATTTCTGACACCGTCTTCATAGTCATCATCATCCGGTTCTTGAGTCATTGTCATTACCATAGCTGTGTGCCCGTTGGTCCATGATCCTTGTTGCCTGCCATCAGTTTGCCTCCTCCTTCCCTTCTCCATGCCAAGAAGACATTCTCCACCTCCCATGGACTTCTGGCAACGGGTTCTTGCTATCACAGCACCCTCTGCTACATGTTTCCTCCTCAAAACGTGGTTTCCATCTTGTTCTTCGCCCATCACCATATGCCATTGCCAGGCCAAGCGCATGTCTTCCATCTCCTTCCATCTCAACTCCGACGGCCAAAGCATTGTCGGCTTTGCTGCCATGTTCTCTCCACCGCCCCCTCCCTCTTCTCCCATCTTCTTTACTTTCCTTGCAACAACATCCAGTTCAGATAAATCCGAAAGACACGGACGCTCATCGCCTACTACGCCTGCTTCACACAAATTACCACGGTAACTAGAACCATCAATCCTATTATCTCCTTCTCCTAATCTCCACCGCCTCAGCTCCTGAGCTGCATGCCGTGCCTCTCTTATTCCTTCAATCGCAACCGGGCTCACTCCTAAAACCACCCTCTCCTCCTCATGCAATCTCTTCTCATCACCATCACCCGAGCGCTTTCCCTTTTGCGAAAACTTAAACTCCTTCTCCCCCTCCCAGCAGAGAACTCCCTCCACTCTCTCCCTCACTGTTCTCAAGCCTGCAACCACCTCTGCTCGTAGACCGACCCTCAGGCCCTCTTTGCATGCCACCTCGATTTCCAGTCTTGAGCCTTCGCTGCACGCTCTCCTCAAGCTTTCTCTAGCCCAATCTGCTCGCCGATTGAAAACCTTTCGAAACGAATCGACCCGCTCGGCCTTCAACACCCTCCTCCACTTCCTCGCACACATCTCGAACTCGCATTGCGTTCCTTCTTTCGCGATCCTCCTCAATCGCTTTGTCATCCTCCTCTTCATCCTCCTCAAGTGACTCTGCAACTCATGCACTTCGTCATCGAGACCCATATCCCGTCCCTCACGCATTAACTCCTCCATTACCTCCGCATCCCAATCCACGGCCGCTTGATCTCCTTGCGAGAGCCATAGAATCCGCTCCTGCAGTCCACTCCTCTTTTCTTCGGCTAACATGCGAACCCTCTCGACCCTCTCCTCTGGGATCTTCCATTCTTCCAGGACCCTAACTACCTCCCATATCTCTCCCCACTTCTTTCTATCCATCCACTTCTGTACACGCAATATTTCTCGCTCACCTCCCCCGCCTTCACGTTCCGAGCCGTCGGATTCCTCCTCCTCCGTGCTCATCTTCAGTTTCGCAATGTCCATCGCCACCGCCATTTCCCTACCTTCCAGTCCTAGGCATACAGCACCTTCAACCATTCTCAAGACGTTAAGTAAAACGCTCTTCCTCCAGTCAAAGTTATCCCTGCGCCTCCACTTCTCCAAGAATTCATCTTTCCTCCGCTGAAAATGATTTTTTGCCTGCTCGATGATTTCCATACTAGCCCCCCATTTTGCAGCCTCATTCAGAGTTGTCTGAAAACTCACAAAACTGCCGTTCTTGCTGTAGTGCATAAGGTTTCTGTTGATTTCATCGCTCTTCTGGTTCAGGAAGCTTGCTGCAGCAAGCATCGTGTCGTCACGGTCATTATTATTATGTTGCAACTCTTTTAGTTTCGTTGCAGCACGAAATATGGCCGACACTTCGTCCGCCGCCCCTCTCTCAAGAGCGTGGCGCAGTTGTTCCTGAAAAAACAAGTTCCAGAAAAAAAAGAAAAAAAAAAAGGAAGGAAGGAAAGAGTGCACAATCGCAAAAACACACATGTCACAACAGATATTATCTTCCTTTTCTTTGTTTTTTCTTTTCCTCTTTCATAAACTCATAAAGGATTGGTATTTGAAATGCCTCAAGGCCGTCACTTTTATCGAAAAAAGGTTAAAAAAAAATTAAAAAAAAAACGGAATTCTGAATTTGGAAGTGTAATGAACCCAACTTCAGGAGCTCGCAATCAAATCTCACATGAACACACACTGCTCAACTCAGCGATACCCAGAAAATTCAGACAGTATAGAAAGATCAGACTGTGTGAAGAAGAAGAAGATCAAAAGCATTGAATTGTCTTAAGAGTATAGCAAATTTTTGGGAGGGCGGGACAATATATGAAGAGTAGGAGTGGGCACTGGGACTACCGTCTTCACCCGAATAGAACGCCCGGTCATTATAGCTGTATTTGGCACAACTTTCGGCCCAGATACGGCGATAATTACCTGGCGTTCTATTCGGGTGAAGACGGTAGTTTCATTAAGCTAACTTAGGCAGGGGTGAGGGGTGGTACATCCTTCCGAAGGGAAGTAATCAATGCCGCCCTCTCGGATCTCTCCCCATCTCTCAACCATAGTGGGGAGAAGCGTTGAGTGGGTACTGATTGTATTCGTATGACTTGCCGGTGTAATAGGAACTGGACTGACGCTCCCCGGAATGAATCAAAGAGAAGTCACCATAGCTTCTGGGAGGCAATGTGGTTGTGATTTCGGGGGGAAGAAGACTCCATGCTGCCGCAGAAGATTAGCGTCCTCATTTCTACTTCCAGCCTCATTGTGCTAGCCTGGCAGAGCCAGCGCTGTAGAGAGGTTGACTTCGCAAGTGACATTGTGTCCATGCTGTCATTTTGACTTCCAGACTCATTGTGGTACCGTCTTCACCCGAATACAATGCCTGGTCATTATAGCTGCATTGGGTGCAACTTTAATTCCAGAAATGGCGATAATTACCGGGCATTCTATTCGGGTGAAGCCGGTAGACTGGCAGAGCCAGCGTTGTAGAGAGGTTGACTTCGCAAGTGACATTGTGCCCATGCTGTCATTTCGACTTCCAGCTTCATTGTGCTACCGTCTTCACCCAAATACAACACCCTGTCATTATAGCTGCATTCGGTGCAACTTTTAAGTCCAGATGCGGGGACAATTACTCGGTGTTTTTTTTTTTTTTTTTTCAACCGGGGCCAGTGACCAAGGCTGATACACCGAAAAATAAGAACAAGGCCGGGTCCTCACAGTCTACCCGGATATGTAACTTATCTGGAAGCCTTACCCAGTTTCGCTTTTAACGAGACCCAAAGGGACCCGGGATCCAAGAAAACCAACCAAAGCTACCGTGAGCAAGATTGCTGCCTCTTCAGCAATTTATGAGCYGCCAGATCTAACATGACACAACCAGGTACGAGCCCATTAACCAGCCAGGGGATGTTCACCTGGAGTTTGGTGTATGGGATGCTGATCGGCAACTGCGGAGGGTCTTGGATTCTGCGTGGATGCTGCTGCCTGCGGAGGATCTCATGGATGTCACGTGTTGACGAGTAAGTCCTTGCTGCAACGGTGCTGGGGTGGGCTGAATGTCACGACCGGTATGGCTTCACTTTTGAACAGCGGGTCACCGTTGCAGTGGTGAAGACATCTGGCTGTTACAGCCGAGGTCACCGGTTCGATTCCGTCTGGCTGAGGAAGTCCGTTTGGCTGCGGATCGATTACTGGGCTACAATGATAAACTTACCAACAGCTAGATGCACCTTGCTCTCATTCTTGCTACTTAGATAATAGAACAATCAGCAGCAATTGCATGCAAGCCTTCTCATGCAGATTCCACCCCATACCATTGAAGATCAACTAAAGCCAGATCTGAGGGTGGGAAAAAAACAGGAAATATGTTACGGACCCAGCCAGGGCTCGATCCCCGGTCCGCGGGTTACCACCCGCCAGGCTGCTATTCTAATTTTTTTTGGAGTCTCTGATCTCCAGTTCTTGACTATTGGCACCCTCTGCAGTTGGCGCCCGTTCTCAAATCCCGCCTCTGCCACTTTTGGATTTCTTACTTGGCGCCATCTGGCATTCTGGCGCCCAGGCTCAGACCTTCGATTTTCAGTTCAGCCCCGAGGCAAATTGCACTTTTGCCCTCGGACTCAACTTGAGTCCGGTACTTAAGACCGGACTCAAGCTGAGTTCGGGGACTCAGTTTTCGGCCTCAGTGCTTGTGCTTCAGTGTGACTTGCTGCGACATTGTGTACAGAACCAAGATTGCGACTTTGCGACTTTGCGACTTGCGACTTTGCCACTTTGTGTCTGCGTCCGCCGAGTCGTGTCGAGTCCGTGTCGAGTTGAGTGAGTGTGTGTGTGTGCTCTCACTCCCTCCCTCTCTCTTCCCCGACCTCGCTGCTCTACCTCCGCCTCGTCACCCTGGTATCGGAGCGGCTTCGGCCCTCCTTCCCGCCCTCCTATCTTCATCGTCGTCGTCGTCGTCGTCGTCGAGTTGCCATGTCATCGACATCATCATTACCTCGTCACCGTCGTCGTCGCCACGTCATCGCATCATCGTCTCCATTGTCGCTGCCACGTCATCATCAGCGTTGCCTCGTACCTGCTGCCACGTCATCGTCACCGCCGCCGCTGCTTTCGCTGATGCGCAGGTAAGTTACCAGCAATTTCTTTTTTTCTCTTTTTTTCTCTTCACGTCCCTCTCCACATTTCTTCTTCTTCTTCTTCTTCTTCTTCTTCTTCTTCTTCTTCCTCCTCCTCGTCGTCGTCGTTTCTCCTTCTTCCTCTTCTTCTTCTTTCCTCCTCTTCTCCTTCCCCCCCCAATCCTCTCTTCCCCCGCTGCCTACCCAGTCCCATTTCCCGCCCTCCCGTGACTTCGCCATCCCCGCGCGATCCTCCCGTGCGACCCCTCTGCCCTTCCCGACCCTGATTCCCGCACAATTCCCCACGTGCTTCCCGCGCGATTCCCCGATCCCAACTCCCCCGACTCCCGCCCGATCCCCATTCCGCACCCTTACCCCGACACCAAACGGGATCCCTTTCCCCCAACACTCCCCCCCGCTGTGCGCTACCCCCGTTCCCCGACCCCGATCTCCCTCCCCTGTCAGATCCCTCCACTCGTTCCCC